TATATATATATTTAACATACATGCTCCTGTTGCCACACAGTGGGAAAACAAATATTTCTATTCTAAACCTATAATATTCAGTTTTTAAGATCTAAAATGTTATTAAAAAGCTAAAGTGCTCTATTAACGTACCTCAAATAAGGTGATAAAAAGGTTGCTGAAAACCACACTATGACAGATTTAGCTTTGAAAACACTCGAGTAACTTTTTACTTTTTTTAAGCAATTATTTGTCCAGTAGTTTCACTCCGCAGCACTTATTTCCACTCGACTAACATTTTCAAATATTCATCACTACTTTTACTTGAGTACAATTTCTAGCCACTCTATTCTCCCTGAGTCAGTTCACTGAATAAAGACTAAAGATGTTTTAACTGAAATGCACCAGACACAGACGCACACCGTTTTAACATAACACATTATGTTTGTAGATACGGTTCATATCTACGCAATTAAGAGGTGAAGTGTACATACAGTAAATGGTACACATCGTCATCGAGAGTACTTTGCACTGGTTTTACATGCATTACCTATTGTCAGTACTGATTTCAGTAGTTTCATGTTGATTTTTCCAACAAGAAATTTTGTCTTTAGTTAGTTGTTTTTATAAGGATGTCACTTACTTTTGACTCTTTTATTTTATTCAGTAAAGTACCAGATTTTGGATATTTAATGATTTTTGTTTGATTATTTTTTTCGCATCCTAATTATCCTTAGAATATTGGTGAAGAACATCCTCAATACAAAAACAAAATACTTTGCCCACATGAATCTGTTACAAAAAATAAACATAAAGGCTTGTGGGATTTTATGGTTGAAAAAAAAAAAAGAGGTGAAGCTTTTAGGTTGTAATGTCAATAAGAAAGAATTAAGAACCGTTCCCATTAACATTCATCAGCATTTTAACATCAACCCTATTTTTTATTTTCATTTATTTTTTTTAACATCCATTAACTTGTATTAAAGACAACACGTCTGACAAAGAAAACAGAGACACGTTGTGTTTGGTAGCTCTGTCAGAGCAGAGGACACACAGAGGAGGTAAGTCCAGACACCATGTGTAGGTGACAGCAAATCAGGAGAGCAAGCTGAGGCAGGTTGTGGCGACTGAGAGGAGGAGAAAGTAGCTGCTCTATAATTAAGGAACACACAGAGGTTTGCCTGCTTCAGAGCAAAGGGACAGATTCAGGGCTTATAGTTTGTAAAACCTGGCTGGAGGTAAATGGGCTGTCGCTGGAACAAAGATACCGCTCTGCACAGTCGACTTCACAAGAACGTAGAGTCCAGACGCATCAGAAAGGGGTTTTGACACACTGCTATGGTTACTAAAACTAGTTAGCAGTAAAATAAGCAGGAGCTGTAAGGAAGTTAAAATGTGGTAAAATACAAAAAATAAAAAAACGTAGAGGAAACAAACATTTATCTGACCAGAGAGATACCTTCAGGGTGTGCGTGTGATATAGACTCGCAGGATATTTAGAAAGATAATTCATTTGATTTAAAAAATAAGCTGGGAATAAAAAGCAAATAGCTTTTTATTTCATCCATGGCTTTCACACTGAACTTAGGCTTAACGTGTTCATGCTTGAAAAGCGAAGTTTGGGAAAGGTGTAAACATTAAAGATGATCCTGCATCAATAATACCAAACAATGAGCTTCATCTAAGGCAGGAGTGGCACACTCCAGTCCTAAATTTTTATTTTAATTTTTTTGATGAGTTCCTGCTTCAAAACACTTGAACACAACGGCTTATAATCAGTCGTTCGTTGTGTGATCAGCATCTCAAGTGGCCTGATTGTGACTCCTTCATTTATTTGATATGTGCTGAAGCAGGAAAACACAGGAAAGTTGAAGAACACAAAGTCCCACCAACACCCATCACACCCTGCTGACTGTGCTGGTGAAGTTTTATTCCTACTAGAAGTTGTAGAGTATAAAGTAATCATGGGTCCACCAGTGTAGGGTTTTGAGCCAAAGTCACTGAATGGGTACACTGTCCATTCAGTGAAATTAAAGAGACAGAAAGCAGCGTGGTTATTACAAGATGATACGCCGTGTTGTGCTCTACGTTTTCCGTTGTCGCAAGATTTTAATTTGTCAGTCACAATTTAAACTGAATTGCAGTCATCACAAAATCAGTTCCTGGGCAACAAATAAGTCCTTTGACTAGACTTTTGACATTCCTGCTTTACAACATAATGAAACACTAAGGCTGCCTTCTTCATCGTGACTCGGAGGGAAATTTTGTCTCACGGATTTAACATCGTGGTGTCTTACCTCATTTACAAACACCCAGTGACTGTCCTTGGAGGCCAAATTTGTTTCCACAGCCTGCAGACACAAACAGAGAGAGGGAGAGAGAGAGAGAGAGATGGGGAAAAGTTTAGATCAATTACTCCGGCTTCATGTAAACTTTCTGGGTCTCAGATCCTCCTATTTGGCCTCGGAGCTGCTCTATCACACCAAGGACACGTTGCTTTGCTCCACTCCTATTTGCTCAGCCTCTGCTGTTTTCCAATGATGGGTTGCTCTGCCAAATGTCAACCAATAAAAGTTTTCCACAGAGACCCGGCCAAGTACTGAGAACTCTTATCAAAGCGCTGCGAGCTCGTCTGGTTCGGCGTAGCTGTGTGATAATCCCAGCAGCGTCCAACCGGCTTCCGACCGATGATAACGAAGAGCCGCGCCGAGTCGAGCCGATAAGGTCCGCGTTTTATTCCGAGTCCAGAGGGGAACTGCTGGCACCAGCTCGTCACCTTCTGTAAACGGCAGACATGAACGCAGAACGCAGGAATGAAATGTATATAAAAACTGATCACTAACAGGTGATTAAAGTCTTATAAAGTCTGATAGAGAAGCTTCCTTTTCGAATACACATGGCCACAGGGTCAGACTGAGGAGGTCAGTGGTGTTGCACAAGTGGATCAGAGGAGTCTTTATTTACACCTTATTAATATGAGTAGTGTTTCTGATTTAATGAAACCTCAAATAGAGCTGCAAAGACTGAATTTAATCAGCACATTTAATTGATTTGTATGCATTCCAGTAATGTGGCAAAAACACTTAAACAATGACACATTTGAAAGCAGATAAAAATGGTCTGCTGCTGTTTCCATGATTTTCTTTTTTAAAGGACCAGGCTATTAAAACAGACTGTTACAATGGTACAAATCAAAAGATTATATTTACCTTTATAGTACCCCGACATAAAACAAGTCAAATACAACATAAAGCCTAGCTTAAGGACAGCAGTGGCGGTTTTCAAGTGCATAAGTCTTTATAGACGCCTTTATAAAAGCATTTGGAGTGTAAAATAAAGCAGCACCTCTACCAAGTTCAGAAAAAGTCCAAAGCTTAAGACCACAAATTAAATTTTATTTAGGATTCCAGACAAAATATCAACTCCAAGTCCCAATCAAGGAATCTCTGTGGGGCTGTTACCGGACCACGCTCAACTCCTGACCTCTGCTTTCATCCTAATAGCTGTGGTTTTATGTCATCTGCATTGTTCAGGTTGAAAGCTATAAGATGTTGTATTGAAATGGCCCAACTAGTGTTACCAACGCATTTAGTAACATGCAAACAAAGAAGAGAAAGACCTGTTTCCAAGGGACAATGGTAAAGCAAAAAAAAAAAAAAAAAAAAAAAAACAAAACGTTTAAAAAAAAAGTGACTAAATTTGCTTGGAGCAACACAGGTTGTGAAACGTTGTGTTCGTTATGTTTCCATCTGCTGCTGGAGCCACAGCGCACTTGTTACAGGTCATCTAAAATATTTTATCTTATATCCTGAATATACAAAGATTCCCAACATGGCAGCTCCTTGCATTGAAATCCCTCAGAACCTAAAATAAAGGATTTCTTCAAAGTACGTGAGACGTTGCAAGTTATTACTTACATTGCATTGAATTTAATAACTTTATATCACCAATTTTCCTCTAATTAGAAGTAAGGTGTGGTGGTTTGAGGTCTGTGCAACAGTATTAACATGAAACACAAAAGGCAATACAAAATAGAAATATATAATATATGATTAGGAAAAGAAAAGTCTATCTTTTGCATGATTATTTTTGACTGATAAATAACAGCCTAGTCTTCACACAAGTCAGGGCCAGGCTTATATAAAACAGAAACCTTTTGATAATTACAACCCACGATAAGGTTCTTTGTATTGATTTCCAGTGCAATCCTCAAGTAAATTAATTTCCCTCCACTCAAACTGCACACTCAATAAAAAAAACCTGACATGACAACACGTAACACGTATCAAAGCATATGGACTGAACTACGAGCCATGTGGGTGTTTGGCCTCTGGGCGCCACACAAAAAAACGTGCAGTTATTAAAACGAACACTGTAACCACGTCTGTATCTAATGATCTGGACGGCATGAAGCAAAACGTCGTCCTTCAACATGATAATAGGAAAACAGACAGGAGGGAGCATCTGGTCCGTGTGGGGAGTGAACACAGTAACAGTCATGGAGCCTGGTACATGGCTTGCTTCAGTACACTGAAGCAAGGAGACGAAGACTGGACCCAGACACACATCCAAGCTGCTTTTCTGGGCCAGATAAAATGAGACTAAGCTTCTGGAAATGACTTCTCAAAGCACAGACTGGGTTTCTGCTCTCTGGGTTATGTTTTACAGTTGTGTCTATGTCAGGAACCCAGCTAATTTGAATAAACATTTTCCAGTTTGCCAAAAAATATTCAACCAGTATCAGAAGCTTCATAATGGCTATAAAATAATTAAATATAAAGCTACTGACATTAGTTAAATGTCACTAGCTTTATATTTAACCAAATATTATGGGAGACAAATGTATATATTTGAGCGAAAGCATAGTTTTGACCCTGGGTAGATCAGATATTGGAATGATGTCCTGCTTTTTAAATCAGGTAAGGATTTTCCTTACCTGCTCTTTTGGCCAGATGGACATTCCTCTAACCAATTAGTTGAATTTAGCTAATTAAACTTTACACAGTTTACAACACATTTCTATATATTGATGTGGAAACTAATATTTGGCATTTTTAATCCCACTTGTTACACGCTAGCGTCTTAAGGGTTACTCCTTTGGAAGTCCTCCCAAAAGTATACCAAAAAAAGTGTTTGGAATATACAGCAGAAGATGTTTTTCCACCACAGCATCAGAACTGGGTTTCAGGACATATCAGTTTTTCAATATTAATATCTTCGCCCTCCTTTACAGGGTCCATCTTTGGCTCCTGCTCCATCCAACACAGAACTCACCCAGGAAGCCCAACACAGATGTAATAATACTCTTTTCAGGCTGATCGTTTAATCTGTGTGTCCTGGGGAGCTGTGGGAGGAGGGCGAGAGGTGAGGATTAGGGACGTATTAATAGCAGTAGTTGGGACCAAAATGTCAGTGAATGTGACCGTTTGTGACGAGGTCCAGCTTTTTTGTGTGTGAGAGTTGATGATGTTGTCAGTGATCTGGTTAACCTATCGTTAAAGGCCAAGACCCCACTTTCTGGAGATACTTCACAAGACATCTCCTATTTGGAAATATTACACCTGTCACTGTAACCTTTACCAGGCCAAGAGGCACACACACATCCACACACACACGCACGCACTCGCATGCACACATAACGGCAGAGAGACTTGTAAAACTGCCCTCTGAGATAGATGTGCTATTCTGAGCCAATTTTACTGTGATCTATGTTGAGGATTTTCTATCCTGCGTTCCTTCTCTGTCTTTTTGAAACCAGGTTGCGTGGTTGTTGTTGCTTCTGTGGATAAAGAAACTTTTTTTTTGTTTGTAGAAACCTTTGACATTTTGTTGCATTTAATGAAACAAGCTGAAGTAAAATGATGAAAAATTATATATATATATATATATATATATATATATATATATATATATATATATATATATATATATATATATAATTTTTTTTTTTTTTTACAGTAAGAGCTGTCAGAACATTAAGACCTCGTTCCAGACACACATCTTTCTTGAATGAGTTTGGCTTTGCTCTTTCGGCCAGATGGACATTCATTCCTCTAACCAATTAGTTGCATCTAGCTAATTAAATTTAGGAAGAATCGGTTCTAACATGCACAACCAAAATTCAAACTCAAAGTTTGGATGATTTTGTTGTAAAATGTAGACATTTCAGGGAACAAATATTTTTAAAAATGGCACAATTTTATTTCAATGAAACTTTTTTTTCGCACAATTTTTTTTGTGTGTGTGTGTTTGATGCAATGACATCGAGTACACAGATTTGTGTGAACACCCATACGCCAAAGTCTTCTGCAAGCACGTTTTGACGATGTCTCCTCGGTAGGAGTCTGTGCTTGGTATTACTTGCCCACCCAGTTATCTGAACACTTCTCCAAATATGTCAGATTGAGAGGTCGTCTCCTGTCCACAGCATGTCAGCTCACAGATTTTTAATTAAATTTAATTCTGACTGCAAGTTTTCCTCTAATGAGGAAATTGTTGCTTTGTTGATTTAGACGTAGGGAATCATGGATGAAGTGGTTGGAATCAAACTGATTGGCATTTAGAACTGTTTATTATTTCAGACGTCCAGGAAGAAAGAGAGAAAGGAAGAAGGAAAGAAAGAACGAGAGAGCAAAAGAAAGAGGGAAACAGAGAGCCCCCCCACCCCCACAAGCAGTTTTAAATATCACTGAGTGCATATTGTATTCATCTCTCATCTTCATAAAACTATCTGTTGGCTAACAGAGAACTCCCACACATGCATGTTTAACTGCTTTTAGATTCCAAGAGAAACATTTAATCAAACAATTTCATATGAAAGCTGTGTTATAAATTCCCTTGAGACAAGCAAATAGCAACATTCATTGTTTCTACTCTTGTTTTATTAAATCTCACTCCACTTTAATTCAAGCAATATTTTAAAATATATAAATAATGTGCGGAAGAATGTAAGTTTAAGTGGGTCTCTCTTTTTTTTCCCCCTTTTCCTTCACAGCTCAATCACCTCAACCCGTTGTAACCGAGGAGGGCCGGCTGCAGTCTGCTCGCAGGTCACCGGGGCCGGGCAGAGTTGGGTTGACCGCAGCGAGCACTAGATCAGCAAGATAGGTCTCTGGGCAGGTCTGTGTGTAGAATGGATGATGGGACAGATCAAAACGTGATTGCGTCAACAGCCTGCAGCTAGTTCAGCAGCGGGCAGCCGGTGCAACACTCTCGTCTGCTGCTGAAATCCTTCATGTGGATCTGCACTAACTTCCCTTCGTGTAGAAAATTTCAGTATTAGCCGAACATTCAGCTGCCAGAACAAATAACTTCAACGTAGTCTACTAATTAAAAAAAAAAAAAAGAAAAA